TATTAGCCTACAACCAGACTCAATGGAGCGTAGATACAGATAACTACGTATTGCACGAGATTCAATGGCGAGACGCCTTGTGTTAGTAGATCACGTTGCACTTGTAAGGGTATCTGTGATTCAGGAACCCACTAACTTGGTGCATCCTGAGAGCTGCATGTTAGCATGAATGTCGCTACCTATGATCGCCTCATGTTCATCACAGGCTGAAATATCTTGTCACATATCTCTCCCTCTACCACAAATATTGAAGCGCTTGTGGCTGGCTCAAACGCACCTGGAATGGGCTGACTGACTGACCCCTTATCTTTTGTTCCCTCAGCCCATCGAGATTCTGGAAACCTGGTAGAACAAGAGGGAGGAGGCTGAAGGGATATTAGACAGACTAACTGCAAGCGTAAGGGGCTTGTTTTTCTTTTCTTTTTATCTCCGCCGCTTCCTGTTGGGTTGATTGTTAGAGACATATTTATTGTCTAAACGTCTTGTCTCTCGGCTCTGACATGACGCCTCGCTCCAAGTCCCCGCTCCTTTTGTCTTTGAGTTGTGATGCTGTGCAACGCAAATATCTCGAGACATACCAGCAACCGGGGAGGCAGCCGGTATCAAGAGGGACTCAAAGCGATTGGGTATGTTTCTGGCCCATGTTTTTCTTTTTTTCTGCTGAATAGAGAGAATACATAATGAACAAATCTATGCCGTACTCATGACGTTAAGAGAGAGTGTAATCCCGGGTGATGGATCACTGGATTTCGGAAGCATGTACTAAATTGGACTCTGTCTCTAGTCGGCCCAAACTGAGACAGGTTCATAGTCTCTTACTCATCGGTTATCCTCGTCAAGAGTCGGATTGAATCCAGTGGTAGTTATTGGGTAGTTCAGTGGATAGAGCCCATCACTATCACTATCACCGACTGAGACATGTAGACTAAGTGAGCTTTCCCCAGCTCCTGTTCCCCGCGCCGGACCGGATGACCCCGATTGTGCGGAGTCGGAGCGTATTCACGGCCGAAGACGGCTTCACATTAGAGAGTAATTATGACTGTTTGATTGCTGCTACTGTACTATTTGTGTTGCAAGAGGCAAATTGAGGCGTACGTTTCTGTAGACCTAGACCCAACGGCTTGAGTTGATCAATTCACATCCAGGGTGGTGGATAGCTTCATACGAAAACTCCCTCCCAGAATCGGGTATAGAGTAAGCCCTTGTTCCTGGGAGTGAAGACCAAGCCTCGATCGTGAGAGGCTCAGGGTGACATCTGCATTCAGCACAGCAGAATAGACTCTGAGCTTTCTCTCTATTCTGCTTAGACCCAGGGCCAAACTCCATCACTGCAACCCCAGGATGGAGAAGAAACCAACCGGTTATCGCGGGGAGGGCTTCGTAAGCTCCAAACCTTGAAACAATCGGCCATTCATCATCCTAGGACGTCCTCCAGTAGCGGGAGGCAAAAAAGCCAACAATTTGACTCCAAGAACCCAATCCTAAACCAGGCGGTTCCTCCGGCCTCACCTCCCTCCTCTAGGCTCCTCCCTCCCTCTCTTCCTGCCCCCCCTGGAACCAAAATTCTCTAGTGTTAGGAGACTTTTCAAGACGTTGGCAGCGATCCTCAAAAGCTTGGCTTCTTATTGTATGATGAGGAGGAAGAGTGGACGCTTGCAGGATCTGGCTAGGATGTTAAGGTTTGCACTATTCGATATCCCGAGAGATCTTGTGCTATTCCCCTCCCTCCATGGCTATTGCCTATCATATGTTTGCTTTTTACCCTGCCGTCTTGAAAAATTTCTCTCCAGGGATGTCCGAAATTACTCCTAGTGAGGTGTGATGGGAAAGACAGTCTCGAACTGAAACTATCGAGTGTTGAATGATATTGTAATGGATGACAGAGAAGATAGTGGTGTAGTAGTGACCCATCAGCTAAACTTGGGAACGCCCGTTACAGTTAGTTATCATTTTCAATTAACCCATGTAATTAAGTACGAAAATTCTCTCTCAATAAGATAATAAAAACTCTTCCAGTGAGATCTAAACTAAAAACATGCAGCCGACAATCTGATCTGGATTAGCCTCGAGTTTGACAGCACCAGATTTAGCGAGAGATAGCGAGTTTAAATTCCGTCCCTTGTAATTTTCGCTATCATAAAGTCCGCTAATCTTTACTTTTAACGAGTGAATTGAGTGACTGTTTCCGTCCCGTCAGTTTGGTACGTATCCGTATTAATTTACGGGCAGCAACTGTACTCACTCAGTAAAGATTGGCATGGTGTAAGCAGCTGGGCAAAAGCAAAGATGCCTGAGTGATTATCACTCACTGTATGTAGCCTGTGGTATCGCACTTCTCCCGTCATCAAAATGCATGCTTAGCTGCCCTCATCCAGTAAATTCGATGTTTCCCTCTTGTGCAGGATCTCTATGATACCTTGATCATGACAGGGGGGATAAGCTGCAGCAAGGCAGATTCTTTTCGGGTATCGGTTTTGCATTCCAGGGTTCAGGTACAGGCACAGGAACAGACACACACACCATCTTTATGGTTGATTAAATCCAATTGGCTCAAGCACCAGGAATGCAGTTTTCGATTCGCTTTTCAGGCCAGAAGTGCAGGTAATTCTCGCCATTCACAGGTCGACATGCAGTGACAGGGCTGCCTGACTGACGTGGACTTGAATTAACCACAGTGACTAACAGTTTGCTGACGCCTTTTGCTGTTAGTAACCCTATCTCCTCCTCAGTGCTACAGTACGATACAGTATCTTTGGGGGCTAATTTAGTGAACCGATCAATTGTCTTGCAGTTTCTGCAGCTGAGCGGCGTGGACACTGACACCCATGACTATCAAATTCTGATTTTCTCCATTCTCTTTTCCAGCTGACATCTCAGCTTACAGCTCAAATTCAGTCCGATGGCGGCAGCTAACGTCTTTTCAGACCCTCTCTCATTTCAAGGGTCTCATCCCTATGACCCTTGCTCTCACCTACGGTAAAGAGATCCATCAAACGACAGTAGCCTGTAGTCTAGACTTGGGGATGCCCTCAACGGTTCCCCGACATGCTTATCCATTAAAAAGTCGGACCGTCTGCATTGTTTTGCTGGGGTTTCAAGGACCGTTGGATGGCATCTGCACCTTAAGTAGAAAGAATTGGATACCGGGCTTGAGGTCTCTCTTCCGGTTGGTTCGCCGGCCTCCGGGCGGGATCTACCCGTCTTGACGGGTGTCCGGATTGGTCGCCGAAGTCTCTTTTCTTTGCTGTACTAGACTATACCTTGTTGCCTGTAACAATTTTTTCACTCTTCAAACTAATGCCAAATGCGCTGTAAGACCGGTCTGCTACCCGAATGTCGTACAACTCACCTCTTTTGCCTCACTTTCGCTTCGATTCCGCTCTTCTCTGCCGAGAAGGGACGTGCTGAGGTTCCCTCAATTGGGTATGATGCATGGATGTAATTCTCACACCTCAGCCGAGACCCTGAGATGGGATGTTAGTTGAAACTGGCCCGTCCTGATCCGGTTGGAGCAGTTCTTTGTACGTGGATATGTGCAGTTAGGCACAAGACTGTACCCTCTCTAGCCTCTATATGCCGACTTTGACCTCGTACGAGACAAGAGAGGACCCTGAATAGTGGACCATAAGACAGCGGCGGCTTCAACGTTTTCTTCTAAAGATAGCTTCGCAAAGAAGCTCTGTTTAGGTATCGTTGCCGGATGCCGTAGGCAGTATCTTGGTCAGTCGAGACCCAAGAGGCCGGGAGTCAAGGATAACCTTTTCCATGATTTGAATGTCAGGAAAACTTACAATCTCATCATAGGGTGGAGTACACAATTGAAACACAGCCAGTGAATGACCTTCTATAGGTTATCTCACGTCTTATACCGTGGTATAACTGCCATTCGTAGACTATGATAATGAGATAGCTGAACTGTTGATCGAGAAGTTAGAAGGACTTAGGCGTACGCTGAAGGTGCTACCTGATCTTTGTCAAAACAGTCTTGAGGCTCTTTGAGCTTGTCCTATTTTGTTCCTTCGACCTTAAGTTACAGTGCCCTTTTGTCAGTCTCCCAGTACTTTTTTATCAAGAGGAGCCCTGGTCCGTACCATCAATGATTACTTCAAGTTCATTGCACTTCAGCAGTCACCATAGCACTTCCATCGCATGCAGTAGACCATCAGAACAGTTGAGAACATGTTTAATAGCATAAGAGGTGAACTGACCTACTCACTCATGATTGGGAGGCCAGTTCAGCGCAGGAGGAAGCTCATGAACCTGGAGGATGGGCTGAGATTGTGTTTGATACTGGATAACTCGATCGACAATCACCTGAACCTTCTCAGTTCTTGATTTCCACGCCTGAATCGCTTCGTATGACGTTCTCCTATAATGTGTTTCTTACCTTTGCTCACGGAGACGTGGAGACCTAACTACCTAGAGATGCATTATACGAAAAGCAATCAGATGTTGTTATAACTGAGATCCAGTCCATCAGTATACATTTATAATATCAAAAGCCAAAACCAATGTCATTGACAAAGCTGCACTCTCTTCTACACAAACCAAGGATAACATGAGGCTTGTGTGCTTCAGGGGGGAAGATGCAGATGTTGATTGTAAAAGAATCGGCCGCTACTCGAGACCTCTTAAGCATCAAATACAATGCTTAGCTACTTAACAAGTTAGGTAGATAATAATCTTACTAACTGGGAATTTTGGTTATACCATCTACATCTATGCTTAACACACGCAATACCATTCATGAGCATGAGGGGACGCCTTTACACATATAAGCAACATAGTCTCGGTGGTTTTGGACAAGAGTGATATCACAGTCTAGCCATTTGATCAATAGGTAGGCTCCCCATTCATGCTGAGCGATGCCGAGTTCGTCAAGAAGGGATGCAAAGTGGTCAAGAAAAGGAACCGAACAGTAACAGAAGTCAATCGATGTCCCTAACAAGCCAAACATATCGATATAAGGTGGTATCTTCTAATCTTCTTATATACCGGCGCTATGCCAGTGCATCTATCACCCGTTCAAGGCCCAAGTCAAGATATTCATCGGCATGTGAGAACACGATTCTGAACCAACCAGGCTTCTCTGAACCAAATGCCTTGCCAGATGCCAAAAAGACCTTCTTTGCCATCATCTTACTCATAACAAGATCCGTTATGTCGTCAGTTTCCAGCCCAGGGTGTCGTGCCATATAAGCCTTGCCCAGATTAACCCATAGGAAGAAGGCAGCATTCACTCCTGGAGCGTAGTCAATCTCGTTCTTCTTGGCCCACGAGACGACACGAGTGTATTGCTCTGATAGCTTCCTTTGGTTCTCAGTTATGTATGACTCGACAAAAGCGTCATCATCCAAGATGTTGACTGTGACGTGATCGGAGATTGACGACACTGAACTGTATAGTCCAACAGCTACAATAGCAGCGTGCAGAGACATGTTGGCTTGAGACACAATTGTACCAACTCGGATACCGTTGGCACCAAAGTCTTTGGACATACCCCAAAGAACATGCACCAACTCAGGGTCGATAATACCCGCGATATCGATTGATAGAGCAGATTCGAAGGGGACAGCTGGAGGGTGTTGGTCGACAGTGTTTTCCCAGACAGACAGAGCATAGATCTCATCACTGATGAAGTGCACTTTGTACTTCTGGCACAGCTTCATCAAGGCGATGAGAACACTTCGAGAGTAGCAGCGTCCCAGGGGATTGTGCGGGTGACTGATGACCAGACCTGCAACTCTAATCCCCTTGGCTTGAGCATCGAGAAGAACTCTTTCGTACTCAGCTACCGCGTGCTCGCCAACAGGGTCGACATCGCCAAAAGCAACTGGGAGAAGCTTGGCCCCAAAACGAGCAGTAAGGTCAGGAATAAACGTCCCATAATAGGGTTGTCCTAGAAGGATTCCATCTCCGGTATTCGCAACAGCCCACGATAAATGCTCAATAGCAGCACTGCATCCGTTGGTCATGGTAATATGCGCTGGCTCGATAGCCTTGAACGGCTTCAGGTGCTTATTCAAGAACCGTGACACAGACTTCTTAACCGCCTTGGTACCCGTAGTACCATCACCATAAGTAAAAGCCGGATTTTTCAAAGCCAAGTTATCGTGAATGTGCTTCCGAAGAACATCGTGCATGAGGGTATTCTCCGCAACACCCAGACTCACGATACCGTCAGGATTGGTCTCTATATCGAAGAGGTTAGGAATAACCTCCCAGAGATCCATTCCCTTGATGGCTTCTTCTGCTTCATGGGCGCGGGTTGAAAGAGACATTATGATCAAATTATTGTCGTTGACGTAGGTTGGATGGTAGTGGTGTAAGTGAGGAATATAACTGACTTGCGTATAAATCGGGTGCCGAGATAAAGTGGCTACCGGCCGCCGATAGCCGGTTGGTGCTTTTATATAAGAAGTCCGAATTCTAGAGTTATGTAAAGGCGCCGTCTAGAATATAATGCTAAGAACTATGTTGTATGAGACAATTGATTCTAGATAGCGTCTTATTGTTCTGTGATGATGCTAGCGAGAGTCAGATTTGAGTTGGGCTTTGTTAACACAGCCATATGACGACACAAGAGCGGTAGGGGAGATGATAGCTATTGTTAAGAGGATATAGGATATCCAAGTCAATGATATCCAATCAACAGCCCAAGAATCCTATCTCAAATTTGTAACAGTTAATTGTCCTGGTCCAGTGCCAAAGGCGTGGCACTGCATGTACGAGGCGTTTAGCTAGATCAAGAAAGAATGAGAGGCATTGACGAAGGAGCTCGGGGAAACTCTAAGGTAAAACCACCCGAGTTCTTCCAAATTGGGAGAATAAGAAGTCCCATAGATTGTCTTTCTGGGGACCAGAAGTAATGCCATTCGATGTTCGACAAGTGTTGGCCTAGGAGATGCTGTTCTGTACAAAGTCGAATAGGAAGCATTGGCTTCTCTGAGCCATGACTCCTTACTTACAGGAAAGCGTTCAGCCAATTCGGACTCAGAATAACACTCAGGTAATCTCATTATTTGTCTGTCTTGGGTGCTTAATCACTAACCAAATCCCTTTCGTGACGTTCAATCTCAAACGCAATGGAGTCGAAACAAGGAAGAGACAGATCAAATTCTTGTACACAACATCATGGACCAGAACAAATATTTCCTTCTATTTAACAGTTTCTTACATTAACGCCTGAAGTCGTAAATCTCTATATTCTTTCTATTTCAATGTCACAAGCTCCTCAGCGCTGGTGGGGTGGATAGCAACACAGCTGTCAAAGTCAGCCTTTGTGGCGCCCATCTTGATAGCGACACCGAAGCCCTGCAGCATCTCACCGCTGCCAATTCCCATAATGTGAAGACCAACAACCTTCTCCTCAGGCCCGGTAACAACAAGCTTGTAGCTAGTAGGTCCCTTCTGCTCAGGCTCCATCATGGCGTAGTACATTGCTGTGAAGCTTGTCTTGTAGACCTTGATGTTGTCCTTGCCATACTTCTCAATGGCTTCGGGTTCTGTCAGACCGATGCTGCCAACCTCGGGGTGGGAGAAGACGACCGAGGGGACATTGTTGTAGTCGAGCTTGAGGGTGGAGTACTCGGGACCACCGAACAGACGGTGCGCAAGACGGCGACCAGCAGCGATGGCAACGGGTGTCAGCTCAACCTCTCCAGTAACGTCGCCAAGAGCGTAGATGTTGTCAACGGCGGTGTTTTGGTACTCGTCGACAACGATGTGTCCCTTCTCGCTAAGCTTCACTCCAGCCTCCTCCAGACCAATGCCCTTGGTCTCGGGAGTTCGACCAATAGCCCAGATCAGGTTGTCGACATCGCTAACAACGCTTTCGTTTCCTTGGTCGTCCTTGTAGGTGACGGTGAGCTTTCCGTTGGAGTCCTTCTCGACCTTACTGGCTTGCGAACGCTTGTGCAGCTTAACACCGAGTCTCTCGTACTCCTTGGTGACGGACTCCTGGATCATGGGGTCGAAGTTGCGAAGGAAGGTATCGTGACGGATGAAGAGGTGAGTCTCCGTGCCGAGGGCATTGAACATGCCGGCGAACTCGACAGCAATGTAGCCAGCACCGACAATGGCGACCTTCTTGGGCTGTGTAGAGATATCGAAGAAACCATCACTGTTGGTACCGTACTCGGCGCCGGGAATCTCGGGAGGGATGGTGGGCTTGCCTCCAACAGCGACAAGAATCTTCTTAGCGTTGATCAGAACCTTGGATTGGTCGTCGAGCGTGACCTCGGCCTGGTTCTTGGAGGTGAGTCGGGCCCAACCGTGTACGTAGTCGACCTTATCGTTGTTGAGGTTTCGCTCGTAGATACCGTTCAGGCGCTGGATGTAAGCGTCACGCTTGGTCTTGAAAGTAGACCAGTCGAAGGGAGCTGTCTCCTCAACGGAGAAGCCATAGGCCTTGGAGTCGTGGATAGCTTCGGCAAGGGCGGCAGCGTTGTATGTAACCTTCTTTGGCACACAGCTATACATAATGTTAGTGTCATGATCCAGCACGAGCTTCAATGGGTACGCACCCAACGTTAACACACGTTCCACCAAGTCGCTTGTTCTCAACAATAGTAGCCTTGACGCCGAACTTGCTGCTGGCCATGCGCGCAGAAGCAAGTCCTCCACTACCACCGCCAATGACGAGGTAATCGGTCTCCTTGGTAACGGGAGCCATATTGCGCGCAGACGTAGAAAGATGGCGGGTAATTGAAGCTATTCGCAGCGGGGTCGTTCTCGAAGACGAAGACAGAGTTGATGAGCGTAGAGAATGGGCGAGAGCTTGCATGGACAAAAGATGCTTGCTCTAAGGCTTGGCCTTTAGAATTTGAAGGGAAATAAGAAAAGAAGGTGGGAGGGGGATGACGTCTTTTAAATGGACGGCAAGAGGATACGAGATGCGATGGAACAGCAGAAGCACGAAAGGTTGTGGCGGGGTTACAAAGGTAGAGGATAGAAGCGGATTGGACGGAATTGACTTGATATGGAAGAATTGGTTATTAAACAATTATCGGAAACCTGAGTAAGCCAACCGATTCGAGATTGAGGCTTGGATTGGTCGATTTCAATGACGAGCTGCAGGAAGAGAGGAACGATTTGAAATCCACCCGCAGGTTGATGATGATTTTTTGATTTGATCTACGGGGTCTAGGAAGTTCCACCTCCCACCTCCATCTCCGTTAGCGGCGAATAATTATAGCCCCGGAGGTTATGGTTGGACACAGGGACCTTGTTGAAGAGTCCCTTGAGGTGTGTGTCAAGTTTCAAATCAGATAAACAAATGTGGAATCATGTTTCTGATATTCCAACTCTCACAGCTCTGTGTGTATGTCCGTGGCGTCTTACCAAAGATTCTGACATAAGCCAACAACAAAATTGTGAGGTTACATTGAGTTCAACCGAGTCTGATGACAAAGGAAAGATATTCTAGTAGGACAAGAGTCGTGCCACCCTGTAAACAGTAACAATGCTGTGTAAGCACAAGATCTTCGGTTAATGCTCAGATTTCTGAGCATGCACACCTGGGAGAGCTTCAGCGTGGCAGAGGCTATTCGCATCAACACGACTGCTGATGATGTATTTCTCAGACATCATGCAGCTCTCGCATATGCATGCAGACGGAGCTATAACGACACACTGCAGGTCTCACCAACACTCGGGCCAACGCGATTCACACGAAAGCTCATGAAGGATTCTCAAGATATAACGACCAAAAGTCTATGTCAGTCGAAGGTTTCATTCACTGATAGTTGAGTTGAAACGTCAATACGTTGATGGGTTCCCACATAGCCTGAGATTAAGATGTTCAGTAGGCGGGTCAACGTACATAAACCGTCAACACCAGAACCACAACTCAGGTCTTCGACATTCATGATATAAAACTCATGATGTTTCTTCTGAGTTTCTCAAACTATGACGTTCAGTGGGTGGAGCTTCGCTTCGTAGCTGGATATTGACAGCTCCCATCCATTTGAGCTCTGTGGCTTAAACCCTTACGTAGTCTGTGATACTCGCTTCAGTGCGTCTTTAGCGGATAATTGCTTCTGTCAAGGTTCCCTTATCCCCTGTTAGTCGCGGCGTATTCTGATTGGTTTTGATGTCCCCTGTCGTCATCTCTCATTTGCTCCAGCTCCCTCTTTGAGGTGGCAGCACCGACCAACCCCCCCATAATGGCCCAAACGCCAGACCCAGACCCAGACCAGGCTGACGATCCAATCCAATCTCATCTCCATCTTGAAGCACCAGAATTCAACCTCCTCAACAACGGTATTTGCTTTCCGTGCCCGTTATATCGGCTTTATCATCGATCGCTTTTATCGACCTAATAATCGATAACCGCGGTCCATATCTATCGCTAACTCGACAAGCATCGACTCGAACCTCTCCTGGCGCCATTGCGACCCGTCGTCCGTCTCCCCCGTCTTGAGCTCGTTGTAGCTTGTAAACGTGATAATGGCGGCTGATGAAGGTATATGGCACTCACATGGCATCTCTACTTGTGCCACCTAAGCTAACTCGACATCAGCGCCAAACCTGAACCTTTCTCCCGAGGAGAAGCGTACTTATGGTCAACTCTTCCGACAAGCCGACTCCGAGAGTGTTGGTGTTGTGGTTGGTGAAATTGCTGTTAGGTTCTTCCACAAAACAGGCCTCGACTCCCGTGTTCTTGGCGAAGTACGTCCAAAATATTGCCTAACCATCCAACTTCGGCTCGCTTACACTTGATAGATATGGCAAATCGCCGATAAGGAGAATCGTGGTTTCTTGACACCAGCTGGCTTCGGTATCGCCCTACGACTCATCGGACACGCACAAGCCGGTCGCGAGCCTACCCCTGAGATTGCTCTCCAACAAGCTCCTCTTCCTCGATTCGATGGTATTGCACCTCAGCCTACAGGCGGCATTCCTCCACCTCCGCCTGTTCCTGTCAGCTCGCCGCCTCCCCCAGCTGCTCTTCAAGCCCAAAGCACTGGTGGACCGATCCGTATCCCACCCCTGACTCCCGAGAAGGTCGCACAATATACCGGCCTGTTCGAACGACAGCCTCTTCAAAATGGCCAACTCCCTGGTGACCAGGCCAGAGGTATCTTTGAGAAGTCCGGTTTGCCCAACGAGGCGTTGGGCAGAATATGGCAACTTGCCGATACAGAGCAGCGTGGGGCCCTCATCTTGACAGAGTTCATTATCGCCATGCATCTGCTCACCTCGATGAAGACTGGGGCTCTGCGATCTCTCCCTAATGCTCTCCCTGCTGGTCTTTACGAGGCTGCTTCGCGCCGTGCCCCCGCCTCTCGCCAACCTTCCACTGGTCCCGGTATCTCTTCTATTCCTCGACAGCTCAGCGGAACAGCCCAAGTACGCACAAACAGCCCTCTCGGCCGACCTCCCATGTCCCCTCAACAAAGCGGTGCTAGTGACTGGGCTGTGACCCCCGCCGACAAGGCTCGATTCGACCAGATCTATGCCGACCTCGATAAGGGTAACAAGGGCTACATTACAGGAGAGGAAGCGGTCGCCTTTTTCAGCCAGTCCAACCTACCTGAAGACTCCTTGGCTCAGATTTGGGACCTTGCGGACACCAACTCTCAAGGCCAACTTTCACGCGAACAGTTCGCCGTTGCTATGTACCTGATCAGACAACAGAGGACCGGTCGTTCAGTTCCTCTACCTACGACCCTCCCCGCCAACCTAATCCCTCCTAGTCTCCGTGGCCAGGTTCGCCCACAAACTGCCAATTCAGCATTTGATCCACCTCCTGCGCCCGTGATGCAAGCTCCCCCGCCTCAGCCCAAGTCTGCTCTTGATGATCTGTTCGGCCTCGATTCGGGTAGCTCCACCCCTGCCCCTCCACCTCCTGCTCAAGCTCCTATGTCAACAGGAGGTTCTAATGCTAATGATCCCTTTGCTGGTGGTTCTTCTATGACACCCACTTCTCCAATGAAACCATCCCTGACAGGAACTGGTGGTTCAAGCTTCAAGCCATTTATTCCGTCATCTTCCTTCGGTCGGGGATTGACACAGCAGCCTACTGGTGGTTCAGCCGGTTCTGGTCAAAAACTTTCTGCACCATCTGCTTCCGAGGATTTATTGTCAGACAATGATGAGGCCAGCAAGAATATCTCTGAAGAAACCACGGAGCTCGCAAACCTTTCGAACCAGATTTCTTCTTTGGCCAAGCAAACTCAGGATGTCCAAGCCAAGAGGACTACAACTCAGAATGAGCTAAACCAGGCCACATCTCAGAAGCAGAACTTCGAGCAGCGACTCAGTCAGTTGCGTACTCTCTACGAGAAGGAGGCGCAGGACACTCGTGCCCTCGAGGAACAGCTTAGCAACGCTCGAAAGGAGACCTCTAAGCTTCAAGCTGAATGCATGACACTTGAAGGCACTTACCGAGATACTCAAACTCAACATCAGCAAACATTGGCAGCTCTCCAGGCGGACCAACAGGAGAACGCTAACCTCAGGGAGCGAATCCGTGTAGTTAACGGAGAGATTGCGCAGCTCAAGCCTCAGATTGAGAAGCTCAAGTCAGATGCTCGTCAGCAGAAGGGACTGGTTGCTATCAACAAGAAGCAGCTGTCTACCACAGAGGGTGAACGTGACAAGTTGAAGTCTGAGGCAGAGGAGCTTAACAAGAGCATCGATGACTTGCGTCAAGCAAACACCAGCTCGCCAGCTTCACCTTCGGCCCAGATTGCAAGCCCTGCTGCTTCCACTTCCAGCGCTAACAACCCCTTCTTCCGCCGAACTGCAAGCACTGATATCATGGGTGCATTTGCTTCTCCTCCTCCCACTAAGAATGTCTCTGACAAGTCTTTCGACGATCTCTTCGGACCTTCGTTCCCACCCAGTTCTTCCGCCACTCCTCCTGCTCAAGCTGCATTCAAGCCCCAGCATACCGGTGCCTCGAATGCCAGTGCAGGTTCATACAACACTCCTCCAGTTCAGGGTTCTCCCGTCATGAGCCGCCAAGCGACTCTTTCTGCTGATCCTCCCCCGCCCCCTGAGTCGAGACAAATCAGCTCTAGCTTCTTGCCATTCCCCGACCACACTGAGTCTCTTTCGTCTTCTCGCCAGGTATCCCCTCCCGCTTCGCGTGCTGATGATCCTCTTCACGGTTCGGTTACTCCTGTTCCTGGTGACTTCAAGTCTTCAGACAGCGTTGGCAGCGTCCCTGGAGCTTTCCCTGGCGATGATCTCGCCAAGTCTGAGAGCAAAGACACACTGTCTGCTCCCAACGACGCGCCTGCTGCCAAGGATGATGAATCAAAGCCTACTGAGTCTGCTGATCCTTTCGGTGGTGCTGATGAAGCTAAGGCCAAGGCTGACTTCGAGAATGCATTCGCTGCATTTACAACTGCCAAGACTCAAAGCAAGCCTTCCCCCGAGGCGAATAAGTCGTCTGCTTTCGACTCTGAGTTCCCTCCCATCTCAGAGCTTGAGCGTGACGATGATGAGGAGTCGGACTCTAGCAGTGACAACGGAGGCTTTGATGATAACTTCACCCCAGCCTCCCCTCCTGCTAAGCCTACCACAGGAGATGCTTCCGAATCCACACACGCAGCTCCTGCCAGCACTTCGCCACAACCCGCTCAGCAGGCCAACTCTCCCCAAGAACCCAAGGCCACCAGGTAAGTGCTAACCGATCCGATTTGAAGCTCAGAGATGGCTAATACGAGAACAGCGCCGAGCAACCCTCATCGCCCGCCACCATTACCGAGTCCAACGCCCAAAAGTCATCTGTTGATGACATCTTTGGTGCGGCTGCCACTGGAACTGCTCCCGCGTCACAGCAAGCAGCTCCTTCCAACCCTCCCCAGGCCAAGGGAGGGTTTGATGATTTGGACAGTGATTTCGAAGGCCTAGAGGATGCTAAGGAGGGCTCCGCTGACGAGGACTTTGCGAATATCTCTCGCTCTGGGTTGGATGACTTTAACCCTGTTTTCGACAGCAGCCCTCCTGGAAGCCAGACCAAGACTGAGTCTACCGCTTTCGGTAATGAGAGTTTTGACTTTATCTCTGCCAGCTCAACTGGACCAACTCAGCCTGCTGCTGGAGCTCAGCAGCAAAAGGCCCCTGAGGCTCATGACTGGGACGCTATCTTCTCCGGTCTGGACTCACCCAGCGCAGCTGCTGCTCAACCCGCTGCTCCCGAGAAGCCAGAGGGCACCGAGCCTCATCCTGGTCAGCAGGCTATGAACCGCACCTTTTCAACTGAGTCTGAACATGATGACCCAATCCTGAAGAGCCTTACCAGTATGGGATATAAGCGCTCTGAAGCTCTCGAGGCCCTTGAGAAATATGATTACGATCTCGACAAGGCAAATCTTAATGTTAATTTCTGTCACGAACGTCACTAACATATCTCAGGCTGCGAACCACCTTGCTAGCCGCTCATAATTAACATGCAACCATAACGTTGTATCATATATCCTCGCATAATGGGAGGGCTTAATGCTACCGCTGCATACTCCGGTTTCCTTATTACTGTTTTCCCTGCATCCTCCCTCATGGTTCTTTTGTTGAATAGCTTCTCTGGCAGCGACTTTTCCTTATGCGTCTTACCCCATTCTATATGGGATTGTTTCTCATCATCTGCCCACACATTGTAGTATCATGAAGATTGCTTGTTTGTTTTAGTCATTGGAGCATTTTTTGGGTTGCATTCTTCGAGTCTGCAGCTGTAGAGATATACCGTTTCGTGTTGTGTTGTCGGCTTAATGTTCAGGACGGAGCGAACACAAACAAGTCACAGCAGTGAGGCTATATAAACAAGCTTAAATATCATTGTCGCTAAGTGGGCACGAAATAATGCCTATCATACAGATTTCCCGCAGTGCCTTTCTCTTTTCTCATGCATACCCAAATCGTGACTCGTCCTCTAGTTACTTACTTCACTCTATTCATGATGGTCTCTGGCCCACGCGCACTATCGATATTGGCAGCCTCTTTCTTAACCGCCGCTACCATAGACCTCTCGAAATCATCTCTCGTCCTCAGTACAACCTCGACCCATTGAAGATTCAGATCCCAATAGGCCATCTTGAAAGCTACATAAGCGTCAACGATGCCATCACGGTCTGCTGTCAATAGGCGTAGGAAGTGCTCTGTGACACGCCAGGTATCCTTGATAGAAGCGCCGACTTCGGGCGATGGTAGGGTGCTGAAGCACTCGAACGCAGTTGAAATGTCGTTGAACAACTTATCCTGGAAAGGATCGGTACGACGGAACTTTGCGCCCTTGTTGCGCACGGCGGATAGGTACCGGACGAGCAACTCCTCGGCAAAGATTTCGATAAATATGTCCACGAGAGAGTGGTGTAGTACCTGGCGGTAGTCGTTGACGTACTCTTCGAATGTTACCACCATCTGTTTCATAGCATTACTTGTGTACCAGCGAGGCGTGAAGAAGTCAGGCATGACCGTGCCAAAGTCCACTGTGAAGACGAGTTGAGCGAAGCGGGTGATGCACCATGTGCTGAAGTCGACGTAGCCATCACGCAACGTGTTGACCTCAGTATCGATACGTTCAAGGTATGCAGGCGACACATGCTGCTCGACCAAGCGACGGAAGCTGGAGAGATAAGCCAGGCGACCCTCATCTTCGTTGTCGTCGATAGAGGCGATTTGGTCATTGGCTGTAGCCACAAGCCAGTCCTGAAGCGCTTGGAAACCCTCCAGCTCAGGGATTTTACCCTCTTCGTAGGGGATAGCCTCTTCCTCAAGCATATTTTGCCACGATTGTTGTCGAGTGCGCAGACGAGCAAACATTGCGTCGATGACACCTTCAACGACGTCGGCGCGCTGTGAATTGGCGGCGGCGTCTACTTGTTCGCGCAGCATACGCCACAGAGCGACAAAGTTCTTGGTTCGGAAATAGCCATACTCATCCTGATCCAAGTTGGAGCCCTCTACGTTGCGCTCTGCCAGGTCGCGCTTCTCCTGTGCGAAGATTCGGTCGATCCATTCGTCGAGGAACTTAATGATAAGCTCACGGAAGTCGCGGACAAGCTCTGCTTCACGGTTGTCAATGACCTGTGGCACAAGCTCTTCTTGCTTGAGACCAATCTTTGCCATCTTTCGGTAGTACTTCTCTGGGAAACCAACGATTTCTAGAGTGTGTGCCGATGATGCCTCGTTGCCATCTACCATGCCCACTAGGAAGTCATGCATAAGCTGATGGTAGACCCCTGCGTAAGTCTTTACAATATTCCACTTCTTAGGCATGAGATGCGACATTCCGACCTTAACGACATTTAGATCATTGAAGTACCACTTCATAATCTTGTCGAGCTTGCTCGGGTCGTCGAGAAATTCCTCCTTTGCACCATCAAATTGTTGCTCGGCGCTGAGTCGAATGGCCTGTATGAACTTGTCTTTGTAGCCTCGGACCTTCTTCGCACCGTCTGTGATACTTTGGAATCGTGTAGCCATCTCCTTGTGGTCCTTCAGAGCTTCCTGCAGTGCCAGCACCCGCTGGTCGCTCGACTCCTCAGCTTCCATCACAACCGCAAATCGCACCACAAGACCGTTGTTATCCTGCACAACAAGGTTGATAAGGTTCAGAGCAATAATACCAACATGCTCATCGAACCAATCGATCGTATCGTCCAGTCGCGCAAAGTAGTCGACCAGTGTCGCCTCAAGGCCATCTTCGTCTGCCCTTTGTATCTGCTCCATAGCATCGTCGCGAATATTTCTTAGTTGAGTGAGCTCGTAGTGGCACGGCAGTAAGTTTGGCATGTTGTCGTTATCTTCGTCGTCCTCCGCTAGCATAGCCTCCACGCGCGTTATGCGCTCGTTGAACGTTTCCAAGTTGCGGCGCATCGTTTCGACAGCCCCAAAGTTACGGTGTGCTTGTGATACCAGATTGATACTTGCAAAGTCCTTTATCATATTTTGTGACTCAGAGCACAGCTTATCGATCTTGATCATTTCCTCCTTGATCATCTGTACTGTCTTTTGGCCATCGCTTAGCCCAGTCATACCCGATTGAGTTGTCTCGAGCTGCTCTCGCAGACCGCTGCGGAGCTGTCCATCTACGGCGCCCTTCTTGCGTGAGAATTCTTGTTTAAGCGCAGGAATTTTGTCTAAATCGTCGGGATGTCGCAGCAGCTCTGAGAGCTTGGGCGCAGGTGTATCGTCCATTATTGCGGCGTCGGCGTCGAGGGAGGTGATGGCGCCCAATCAAACCATGATGCGGGGGGTTATTTCCAAAGGGTCGGTAGCTAGACTTGGAAATAGTATAGTCGTTAAGCGACAGCGAAGGTTGAAATTGAAGCGAGCGTCGAGTATAGTCAAGGAAGTGGGATGCTAGGTCGCGGGGAGCTGTCACTATCCTACCCCTAGATTAGTAGGTGTTCAGCGTTCCATTGTGTGGCTGACAGCTAAGCACAGCCACTTTGAAGCTCAACGCAGTACAACATAGAAAACCAGATATTCATAGCTTCAAATATCTCCAATGACAATTATATAATGATCAAAATACTAGAAAGACAATAGTAAGATCCTTACAAGCCTTGGTTTAAAGTAGAGCAGTTGTTAAAGGTATATACTTGTCCGTCCAAGCGTAAGCAGAACTTGGGTAGGAATAATACTCTATTACCAGACTCACGGCCAAAGATCCAGCTGCATATATATACTCATTAATTTAGGAACAGGACTCTATATTTTATTATGTCTTAATACCTCAATTACACCCGCCTTTTTCACTGATCAGTCACTATCGCTCCCAGAGCTACTTGTATCATCGTCGTCATCCTCCTCCCCGAAACTCTGCTCAGCAATAACATCGCCAGCCTCAAACGCAACACCAGCATTATCATCCGACTGATCCCCCTCGTCGTCGCTGTTAACCTCCCCTTCTTCTATATCCTTATCCTTGCCCTTGTTCCTCCTCTTGTTCGGCTTCGTAGGACCCTTCTTGCCAGGTGGGTTCTTTCTTTTGTTACTGCCTCCTGAGACAGTATTTTTAGGTCCCAGCGTAAAGCTTGCGGGAAGGCTCTGATCATGTTTGAGAACCCATATTGTGGGAAATTCGAGTACGCATGTGTTTTTAAGGACCTCTCGTAAACAATCCTCTGGGTCAAGTTTTGTGACGACAGGTTCGTGTGATGGCGAGTTCTGGTTCGCCAGAAAGTACTGAAATTGCTGTTTTTGAGCCTTGTCCTTTTGCGAAGGCCACATGCTGGGCTCTGTATCGTGATAGTTCTTCCAAGTATGTGAAAATGGGTCCTGAAGGGCGAATGATCCAGATGACCATGTCGAGTGCGTCGAATCCTGCACTTGTCCGTCAAACCCCGGTCTCGGGACCTTTTTGGACTGTTTTCCTTTCGCCTTTTCATCTTGATCCTCCAAAAACGCATGATAGGCCTGGTATAGAGGCATATCGTCCATGACCTTGGACAAAGCCCTGGTGTTCTTCAACACGCCATCTGTGGTGTCTTCGATCGTCATCCATTCCACCAGCCAATTGATCCTCATTGTTCGCCTGTTGAGCGTCGTGACGTTCTCCTGCTGTCTAGCCATACCCAATGGCGCGCATTTGATGTTGATGTTGAGCTTCTTCAATCGCGCAGCCAAGTGCCTCTCAAATTCTCGGCCCTTTGCTTCGCGCAAAACTCTAGTGACGAGAACTTTGCGTTTGCGTCCATCTCGGCCAGGTTTCCATTTAACCTCTTGGATCGTCAACGGGCGCAACTCTTCCTGCTGCACGATCTTGCGCTCTTCTACGAGCAGCTTCTCGGCGCGTTCGACAGATAGTTCGATCCCATGGAGGAAGTTGTAGTCGTGGTCGACGCCGGCGGCTGTGCGAAGTTTGGAGGGGGCGACGTAGGCTGTCGCATCGCGTTCACCGGAGCACTCAGACCAGTTTTTGTGTTTTTTTACACACCCAAGTGAGCATGTGCGAGCACCGCATCGTGGACATGTGTATTTCGGCGCTGAGATATGGCAAATGCCACATAGGGATGTAAGTAGTGGATCGGACATTATGAAAAAGAAGGTATGTAAGGAAGGAATTGGTTGAATGAAAGATCTATGCGCCGCGACCGCATACGCAGTTGCAGCTAAGGGAAACTTTTTTATGGGCCCGTCTTATCTTATCATGGGCACCTTGACTCAAACGTGTACCTGTCCCGACGCCTCGTAAACTTGATGCAGATAACTTCGAAATCGCCTCAAGGCTACAATGGGTTCGAAGTCGAGAGTCGGGTTGTGAGACCCGTAGGTAAGTGAGCCGATATGGATAGGCTTCACTTTTGTGTGAACACCTAAAGACCTGAGTGTGAGAATTGAAGGGCGAGTTGATATGCGTCACTAGAATCTCATTTACAATACACATCACTGGGATAGAAAAGAATAAGTATTTTATCACTTGTAATTTGTATAGGTCATCATTAACGTTAAAAATGTGTTTCATTCTTGTGCCGTCCAGTAGACTAAGCTACGGAGCGACGCAGTAAATAAACACCGCTTCTTAGAAGAATACTCTAACAAAATGGAAAATGGCCGTCAAGCCCAGGTATATGAGCGAAAGCTGCTCATCAGATGAGACAGTAAATGGTTGTGATGGATAGAAGGTTGAAAGGGAGACATTAAACGCCGTGGCCCGCAGGTTTTGATCCAAGCATATCGCCAAATACAACGCAATTAAATAAATTATGAGAAACAGATGTATCCAAGCAATGCTCAGTTATCATCTAACACATTCAGCGTGTACCGCCAAGAGCGCTGATCCTGGCGCCTGATGGCCTATGCATCAAGGACTGTTGGTGCTGGAGCTGATGCTTAGATACGACGTGTGTCTCGTGTGAAACCGCCCCGTGGTCGGATCGATTCTCCTCGAAGTCCTCTTCGTCATCCTCGACAATCTTGGTGGGGATGTCGTCTCGGAGGTGATACTGCTGCGACGATCGCTCGGGAGTAGTAGCTGTAGAGGCAAAGGACATTGCTGTGCTGCTCCGGTTGGGAATGAGATCCGGGGTGGGAGGGATACTGGACGCCCTCCCTGAGCGCGGCGCCAGGAGAGACTCGTCTCCTGTTTCGGACGTGGCGGCGGAGTGGCCGTCATCGCTCGGGGTGGTAGAGATTCTCGAGTTCCGTCGGCTAGAACTCCCTAGTTCGGCATCATGTGCCAACTGAAGGCCCTCAACGGCAGCCTGGCATTGCTCAGCAATGTTGCGCACAATGTGAGCAATGGCATCAGTCTTGTCCTTGAGGTGGCGGTCGGCCACATCGTTGAAGCTCGATGAAGAGTATCGCTTGCTTCGGTGAGTTGAAGAGCTGGGGCTGGGGCTGGGGCTGGGGCTGGGAGTGAGACGGCTGGAATCACTGGTCTGGTTGTCCTCCTCAGTAGTCTCCTCGTAGCCCTCCTCAATCTCATGGGCCAGATCGTCAGGCTTGGTAAGAGACTGGATAAGGTGCTCCATGTGGTGGCTTTGGCCGCCAATGAGACTGCGGAGGTGAAGAACGACTCTTCGGGCCTCATCGCGTTGTCGCATGATAGTGACGTTGGTGTGTTGAAGCTGAGAAAGCTCCTTCTTGTTCCTCTTGCGCTCACGCTCAAGCTCCTCAGCAATCTCCTGCTGGAGGACAAGGGCCTCAAGAGCATCATCACGCTGCTTCTCAGTGCCAGTAAGGCGCACAGAGAGGCGCGCGTTGTCATCCTTCTGCTGGTCAATGAGGCCAGCAAGGCGACGGTTCTCCCTCTTGTGCGTATCAATCTTAACCTTGAGGTCTTGTGTCTCCTTGGTGAGAGTCTCAGCAAAGGCCTGAAACTTGAGGAACTGCTGCTTCCAGCTCTCAAGCTCCTCCACGAGGTAGTTGTTGCGCTTGTTAACCTTGCTAAGCTCAGTTTCCATGCGACCCTTAAGGTTGATGAAGTCCTGCCAGGCCTCAAGGGCATCTCGCGAGTATTGGTTTCTCTCGCGGACAATCTCGTTAAGGTGGCGCATTGACACCTTGGTCATGAGGGGCTTCTTGACAGATCCACCAAAGACGGCCTTGATACCAGTGTTGCGTCCAAGCTTTTCACAGACATGATCCATGACAGCCATGACGGCATCTTGGTTCCACCACTCGGGATCTTGAATAGACTCAACCTCTCCGCGCATCACGATAATTTGACCAGCGGGAACGAGCTTGCCGCCACCGTAAGCGGATCGAAGATGTTGAGGAACTCCGGAGGGTGTGACGTCGCCGTTCAGGGCTTGTGTAAGACGGGTAACGAACTTGTTGCGTTGGCCGGTAGAAAGAGCGGTAGGGGGGCTAGAGGTGAGGACGAAATTGCGATCGAGGTCGACGACAAGAGCGTCGGTGGGAGCAGTGAAGAGAGAGCGGCACTCCACGGTGATACCAAGAATGTAAGGGCCAGGCTCCTGGACCAACTCCTTGGCGTGGCGAGCGTGAACAACCGGGACGTAAAGACCGCTCCATTCGTAAACTCGGACGCAGTATCGCACAGTCTCGGCAGCCATGGTGAGCATAGCAGGGTAGTGGCTGACAAAGATAATTCGACGTGTAGGAGAGATGGCCGCCTCGATGACGCCGACAATGTTGGGAATTGACAAACAGTTGAAGAGCGGCCACATAGCGAAGTTCTGGAATCCAGTGGGCGAGGAAGGGAACTGGTAGCAGAGAGCATAGTCCTTCATGTCGATACGGACCAGATCGTTCAGGCGGGGAGCAGGGAAGCTGAGAATTCGAGAAACCTCCTCGGCATGGAACAGGTTGGTAGCCTTGTTCCAGTGAATCCACATACCTCGAAGATAATCTCCCAAAAGGTTATACAAAGGGTAGCGAGAGAGGAATGACAAGCAGTAGGGAATCCAGTAAGTCTCATCAGGGTTGTCATAGTAGTCGCTCTCCGTCCTCTTGCGAAGCTCACGGATTGTCTCGGCCCTCTTCTCATCGGCTCGCGACCAAACGCGCAGGCAGATACCATACAAGGTGTGAGAAGAATCCTGCTGAAGAACAAAGGAATGGTGAACGCAGTGAGGCTGGCTTCGGCCTGTGCATATCTCAACATCATGGGGGAAACAAGCCTAGTCGCCACCAGTTAGCTATAGGAAATCAATTAGTCCAATCGAAAAGTACGCACCCTCATGGCTGAGTGAAGAGCGCGAGCAATCTCATTATCCTGCTCAAGGCGAGGGCTGCTACCCAGAATCTCGGGCAACCAGAACTGTCCAACAGCACCCTTCATGTGGCCAATCTTTCCTTGGGTTGGTGCAGGAGCCTTGACCCATTGCGAAGGTTCGCGGCCAACACCGCAAACCATATACGCATGTGTCAAGGTCTTTGGTGTTCGCTGTTGAGGCTTCATGTTGAGGGTTGAAGGAATAGGTTGCGTAATGCGCGAATGCAGCGAAGAAGTTCGACTAGGGATCAGCAGGTTTTGGTCTGGGCCCTGGTCGCGAGTGCTGGGCCTGCCATCGCGGTCGCTAGTCCGAGGACGGGTGAAGGAGGAATGGGTGTTCAGCGAAGGAGGCATAATGGCGATAATGAAGCGAATCGGTCCTTCGTCTCTTTCGTCAAATTGGGTATCGAATAATAACAATAGATAGTCGTCGTCGAATTGATTGATAACTTGGAGACTGCTATATCCGCAACTACAGCTCGTCTCGTTTGTCGAATTGGCGTTAACTGACTAGCAGGCAGTCCTTGGATCTTCGCGTCGTGCCCGTTTTGGTTGAGGGCTCCGCTCCGCGCTCAAGGCTTCATTCAAGGCTCGAGTCAACCGGGCTTTGAATGGAAAAGCAAGGAAGAAGGAGAAGGAAAAAGAATGAAACTCGAAAGAACGAGGGGGGAGATGGGTAAAATGTATATGTAAAGGGAGAGAGGCAAGACCAACGGGGTGTACAAAAAGGTCCTGGTTCTGTCTGTAGTGGGCGTGTGGAGAGCTACCTACCATGCAATAACACAGGAGCGACACCCAGCAAGCGAAACAAGATGCGACGCCAGTTGAGGAAGGAATGGGCATGTAAGTACCTGTACTTTTAGGACGTTCACGGCTTTTCAGTTGGGAGGGAGCTCCCGTCGTCCGTTGAACCTAATGTACCGGTACCTAGTCTAGACCCATTAGTGGAAAGAACGTGCGTAACAGCAACGGTAGAGGATGGCCCTGAAAAGAGGTCAAGAACAAGGCCTTCTTGAGCTCACAGTGGGCGAAATTATGAGACAGAAGGCTGTCCGGACCTGAACATGTAGGCTTTGATCCTTGTCAGAGTTCTCAGGTAGGCGCTGGAAATGCTTGACTCTCAACTGCTCACTGCTACGAAAGTGGTAGGCGACCTGTTTATGGAAGCGTAGACGGCGTTATGCGGTGCAAGCAATATGTGATGTGATTCAATGTGTAACCTAGGTACATTGAGCGCCTTTGTTTGTGAGTGGGTGACTGAAAGCATCAGATGACTTGGGCTTCTACTTACAAGCAAAAGAACCTCTTTGCGAACGATACTCGTCGATTGCGACAATTTCTATCCATTAGACTCTCAATAGACAAACCGCCACAAAAGTCAGATTTGGTGAGGTGAAGGGGAAGCTTTCGGCTCTAATCAAGGATGTACTGTACCTACATTAGGGGCAAGATGAGGAGCAACAGAGACCAATCCCAATCCCCGTCCACCCCAGTGAGGGGCCGAGATGGCACCTATTGCTGGGGCTGTCAGGGGCAGAACCACGATGGAGCTGCAAACTGCGAGCTGGACCTGACCTGCGCCTGCGCCAGAGCCTGAGCCTGCACGCATCCTGCAGGGGTCATGGGGCCCTGGTCCCCTACCTAAGCGTGCATGGAGGCTTCAGACTTTCCAAATGGTTCGGTACGGATACATGGCGGGCAAGTTCTCTGCACTCTACTCTCACTCTCAGCTCTAAGCGATGGAAGGAGTGGACGTTATGACGAACGGGCCAGAAGGTAGCCTAGACCCCTAATAGCCAAGTCTTTTCTACAGCAACCACATAGAACGGGAGGCATGAAGGTTGATCTTGGC